CCTGCTGGGCCAGAGGGCAGCATTGCAAAGGCCTGCGGCCACGGGAGGAGTGAGGACTCTGAGGACCGGACAGATGACAGCCAGAGGTAGCCTGTGTCCTGTGAGCATGTCGTCCCAGCCCCCACCACTCTAACTTTCCATCCTTTGGGAAGATTGATGCAAATGAAGAATTGTTGACTTACCAGAAGGAGCTATGAATACATGAGAAATTACAGACAACGCGTAAGACCATTGTCAGCCCAGCACTGTGACTGGCCGCCACCACCCATGCTGGGAAAGAGCAGAAGCCATCTCCATCCATGGCCAGGACTGCGCCGCACGATGGACACCACCCCCGCGCTGAGCACCACGGCCAGGAATGCACCATGGCCACCACCCCCATGCTGAGCACCACGGCCAGGCCGGCGCCATGGCCACCACCCCCGCGCTGAGCACCACGGCCAGGACTGCACCATGGCCACCACCCCCGCGCTGAGCTCTACACCCAGGACTGCTGTGGCGCCGTGTCCATGTTTCTGCACTCTGCTCTACCCCGTTGCTCCCTCTAGGGACAAGTACCCTGGTCCCAGAGGGGACTTCTAAAAGGTTTATTCCTATAGCAGCTTGTCTTTCTTACCACTCTTCTTGTAGGGAGTGGCAGGTAAGGAGATGGACCCTCATAGGACTCGTGAAAAGCACCTGGGCAACGTAGCCCAAGAAGCAGCTGGCAGGTGCCAGAGCCCCGCCTCACTGCGCAGACACAGGCCCTCTCAGCTGGTGCGTGGTGCCCAGAGCAGACCGTGTTTCCCAGCCAGCCACGAGCTGCCCCGAGGCCACATGCTCACTGAGGAGTTGGGACAGAAGTGTCTTGTAGTCTCTGGGCAGCATTCTGCGAAGGGCAGCTGGCCCTTCTTCCAGCTTGGAGGTGACAGTCGGGGTCCGGGCACCACCCTGGGCAATGAGAAGAAGGGCCTCCCAAGAGGGGTAGAGGGGCTGGTGGGGCTGGCCCTGGAGGACGTGGTAGAGGAAAGCCCGGGGCCAGCGCTCCTTCCTCTGGACTAGTGATGAGGGAAGGAAGTGGTAGAGGCCGGGTTTGTGAGTTTCTTTTCCTCGCAGCCCAGCCGAACCCTAACTGGTAAAACCGTCCTGGAGGACTCATTTCTTCCTTTGGTAAGAGAGGGCACAGTGAAGCTTCTCTTCCGGCCCCTCAGACTCTGGTAGTGGTCTTCCCCAATTCCACCAGCAGCTGCTCCTCCAGGTCAGCCCAAGACAGGCCCGAGGCCTGGCCCATGGCAGCACTGCCGGTGCCCCAGGGCTTCCACCTCCGCATCTGGGAACCAAGCTCCGTCTTCCCATGGAGCTGACGGTTTCTAAGACCAGGCCCCTCAGCGTCACCAGTCCCCGGGCCCATCTGCCAAAGGGTCTCCTTTAGCAACAGGCTGTGTTTAAAGGGCACGTGTCACTAGTTAGTGACACGTTTTTCCCCAGGCTGAAACACACGTGGAAGTTAGGTTCTCAGCAAACTCCAGAGACAGTCAACTCCTCGTTAGACTAGAGCGCCAAGCGACTCAGAACCAAGGCAAAGTGCAAAGGTGGCTGGTCGCAGGGGTGCCCAGCTTCCACCTGAAAGTAGAACACACACACCCTCTCTCCCTCCCATGGCCGAGCAGGGACATGTGCTCCCTCGGGCCTGTGCCTGGTGTGGAGAATCAGCACTCCCAAGTAACAGGTGCACGGGAGCATCTCGGCTGTGTCTCCCCTAATTCTGACTTGGACCCCCAGCGATGGCCGCTTCTGAGCGTGTCCGGATTTCCTCATGGGAAGTCTGCTCTGATGCCAAGGGAGAGGTGGACTGGGGAGGGCGCGGCCCTCTCAAAAGGCAGCAGTGCAGGTAAGTGCGGTCTTCCCTGCAGGCTGCAGCAAGAGGGCCCAGGTCACCAGATCCACCTGGTGCAGGGCTCGGCCAGCAGGGGGCAGACCTGAGGCAGGTGGGGACCTCTCCCTGCCTGCCGGGTGGGTGTCGGGGGCGTTGAGAGTGAAGTCGTGACTCCCAGATGGACTTGAATCTCTATCACCCCAGCTCCTCCTGCAGAAAGGCCAGTCTGGAGCCCGTCCCTCTCGGTCTCATCTTTTCTCTTTGGAAAAGCAGGAAACCTTTGCTCCAGTGACAGCTGTTCTCCATCCCCCAGGTCTGTGCACCTGTAGGGATTCGCCTCTGCGTGCGTGCCCTGCCCTCTGTGCTTACCAAGGCGGGGTATCTGCCCGAGGCCCCATTGTCCTCCACACAATCATTTACCACCTCGCATTGTTGCTCTGTCCTTGTCCTCACTCCAACCAGGTTGTTTGCAGATGACAGTCCCGGTCACACCCTGCTGGTCTTCATTACTGGCCCTGCTTTGGAGACAGGGCTGGACACACAGTAGGCCGTGCACAAATGGTGAATGGATGCATGAATCCAAGAAAGATTCTTCAAGGGGTGACTGAGTGCAGACTGGCTTTGTCCTGGAGGGCTGTTATCGTAGGAAGCTAAGCCTTCACACGATGGCACCCATCTGTAACACGAACTCTGCTTGGATGTTCTGTGTGTAGACACTTTCCTTCCGGAGAGTCAGGCCAAGAGGTTGTGAGCCTGGACTCTGGGGCCGGACCGCGTGGGTTTGAAGGTGGCCACGCTTCCTGCTAGCATGGGAACCTGGCCTATATGCAACTACACGGTAGTAACAGAACCTACCTCGTGAGGTGTCAAAAGATAATAAAAAGCAGAAAACCAAAGACAAAGGCAACCCACGCTAAAGACAGCGCAGCGTCTGACGACAGTGTCTGAGGATCATGGAGCTTCTGACACCTAGGCCGGAGGCTTCAGGGAAGCGAGGATCTCAGGCAGCCAGGGGTTTGCAGTCCCGGGTTTTCCCTTACCCCTCCTGTGTATAAGGGCAGCGTCCCCATCGCAAAAGCCACAGCAATGCCATTTGGAACTGGAAGTGGAGCAGCCTGGGGAGCGGTGGGCCACCTTGTAACTAGAAGAGAAGCCTTGGGGTATGCACCACGCGTCTCAGTGATGTTTTCGGGAAGGGCCTGCCGTCCGTGGGTGGTGGGTAAAGTGCTGTGTTCATGAGAGTGTGAGAGGCCGAATGCCATCACTGACCAACGCCAAACTACGCTGCCAGCCAGCTCGAATGCAGATACTGAAAACAGCCGGTTTACCGAGAGGATCTGCTTCTGAAGAGCACAAGCCTCTGCTAGTTACTGGGTACCTAGACGGATATGAATTACAGTCTAATCTAGTTTATGCAAACTATTTTGCATTCTTCTGCCTCCCAGCTCTTCCCCAAAGTAAAATAAATGCAAAACAGTTCTTTTTCATGTCTTCCCTTCAGATCATCCCTACAAATGAACCAGATTAAAATGCAATATTTCCAGAATGGCGTGGAGATACAGTACCTCGGAGAGAAAGGGAAGCACGTTTTAGGAGTGTGCAAGGGTCTTGGCTCTGTGTGTCATCTGCCCACCTGCCTGCATGCCCACCTGTGTGCGCCTGCAGACCTGGTGCCAGCCACAGCTGGGCAGCCCCTGATCCTGCACAGCCCCTGATCCTGCACAGCCCCCTCTCCTCCGTATCTCAGCACAGGGGAGGAGGGCCTAGACCAAAGCAGACGAGCCTCAGGTTTCCCAGCAACCTACGACCTGGCAGGAAAATGTGAACTGCGCCCACCTGCAGTTTGGACGAAAAGCACCGTAAACCTTGCTGGTTTGCAATGGGAACTGCCACTGTGAGACCCTGGCAAAGGCTGGACGAGAACCCAGGCCAGCTGAGTCACCAGTGGCCAGAGCTGGGTGCCAGGGAGCTGAGGGTCAGAGGAGGGCAGCAGGTGGGTAGAGAAGCAGCCACTGAGTCGCCCCCTGGGGGATGCGAGAGTAGCAGACTAGAGGCTCCGGTTCCTGGCCACCACCACCCAGACAGGTCACTGTGACACAGCATTTGCAGACCTTGTCCTGATGCTAGGACAGGTGTCCCTCCTGCCCCAGGTGCCTCTTATGTGTCCCTGTTACTTGAGTTAGATTTCAAGAGAGGGTGTGTCTCTGTTTTTTCAAGTGCAGATCTTCCTGAAACACGTTTCTAACCTCACCTTGGGTCAAGAAAGCCATGAAGGCCCAGCTTTGGGGTAAGAGCACCTGACGATGTGTCTAGGGCATACACAGCTTCCAGCTGTGGGACCCTGCAGCCTCGGAGCCAGGGCACCCACTTTAAAAAAGACACCTACGGCCCCGAGAGGTCGCATAGAGGACACTGCAAGTATGAAGAGGGGGTAGAGACCATCATGTGCAAGGATGCAAAATGAGGACTTCCTACTCCAAAAAGTAAAAAATGAGGGAGGTGGGAGTGAGCCTTTCCAAGTGTGCAGAGCTGCCACGCTGGAGACGCACCAGACTCACACCGCACTCCTTCAAAGGTGAGAAGAGCTGGACAGGAGTTAGGAGGAGCTGGGTGCTGGCTCAGCTTCTGAACAATGACTTCCACAAGGTGGGGGACTCGGCCCCACCAGGTGGAAGTAACCCACTGGAGGCTGGTGGCCTGGTTCCCTGTCTGGGGGACAGGAGTTTGGACAAGAGGGCTCCAACGTGATCCCTCACACTAAACACAACGAATTCACCTGATGACGACCCATTTCTTCTTGGCTCTTGGCTAAGCCACAGAGAGTGGAAGGTGAACCCGAAGATGGTGTGTGGTGGGGTGACAAGGGGTCGTTAGATACCCAGTCCTTGTCTCACTGCCTCCGACCCTGGGCCTGTGAGACCATGCCTCCTCACAGTGGGACTTCCTCTGGTTGAGGTGAGCCGCTCAGAAGTGTCCCTTGTCATTTCTTAAGCAGACGGAAAATTCTGGAAAGGAACTTTATTTTTTTAAAGTTTCCAGGATGCACTGGTTGATGCCAGACAATTTTCCAAGGAAAAAACAAAACAAAACAAAACAAATTCAACCAACGTACTCCTGCTGGAGAGTATAAGCAGCAGGCCGGCTGGCTCCGAGAGTGTGAATGAGGTTAGCGTGGCTTCCCAGCGCCCCGGTCGGTCTGCTGTCCTGCCACCCTCCCAGAGACCTCGCTAGAACGCCAGTGAGATCAGCCCCTGTGGTCTCCTACGCCGTGGCCGCCCTCGCCATCCACACAATTAATAAAAATAATAATTAGCAAGGACAAGGGGGGAGGCTGGAGAGCCCAGCAGGGCAGTGTGTCTCCTGGACTGGCCGCTAGGAAACAGCAGACAGTGATGTCCGAAGGCTTGGTCGGGCCTGGCAGCCAGGGTGGCGAACTGTAAACCGTCACCTCCACTGAAGGTGGGATCGTCCAACTGACGATGGACCTTGCTTTAAAAAGTAACGAAAAGGGCCCTTTCTTGTCACGTTCATACTAGGTCCTCACGCGGGGCAAGGGCTCGATTCCAGACCCAGTGGGACAGGAATGCGCCCACTTCGGGTGAGCGGAGCAAGGGTTCTTTCTCTTCGGCCCCGCTGGGATCTCTGGTTTCTCCTACAGATCAGCAGCATTTCAGGAAATGACCTGTTTGCCTCTCAGACCCAAGGGCCCGTGGCGCCACTCAGAAGGACTCCCTGGGGCACGGTCAGGCATCCTCTGTGAGGGATGGCTGAGGCGCTCATCAGGTGTCCCCGGGGGCCTGTGGTGTCCCAGCCCTCCCTGCCCTGCCCCACAGTGCCGTGCTTTCTGGTTGCTTCCCACGGCAAACAGAGTCTGCCATTGAGCCATTTTCCTCTGCACTGCAATCGCCTCTGCTGCCAGGATGAGTCACCGTGCAACACGTCCCTCGTCCCCTCCACCCTGTACTTAAAATACTCTGGGGCTGGCCGAGCAGAAGCTCGCTGTGCGTGAGCACGCGTGTGCACGTGGGACCAGCAGCTCAGCCCCCAGAGCCCCCCACAGAGCAGGCTGCCTTGTGCTTGGCTGAGGGGTTCAGAGAGACAGCAGCTCGGGGTGGGTCTATCTTCTAGGCCGGGCGCTCCCTCGCACAGCCTGCCAGGTCCGGCCTTCTCTCTTGCAGGCACCTCCATTTTAGCCTCTCTGATCTTGAACAGAAGGCTCTTACTGCTGGGGTGGGTTTGCCCTGCCTCCTCTCCCAGCCCAGCTTCTGCCTGGCTGCAGATAGGACTGCTCTGTCCTATTTCCACCTGCTGTCCCCTGCCTCTGCCCCCACAGGGTCAATCTCAGCAGGCCCGGAGCCTGTCGCCCTCACCTGGACAGAGGGCCCTAGCCCCCTTTGCTCTCTGCCAATCTGCTCTCAGTAGCTTCTCTGTCCACCCACACAGAGTACTAACCTCAGGCACAACCAATCACAGGGCTCCAGAACATCCCTCTTCTCTAGCCTGCATGGAAAAAGGGATTAGAAATGGTTCTCTTCAGCCTGAGCTTTTAGAATGCCTTCCTCCTCCTCGCTGCAGAGAAGCTGGTCTCTGCACACTGCGCCCAATGGCCTTCTTAGTTCCCCACATCTGCGCACACCCGCTCTGCGCCCAGACACACATCCACCTGCCGGAGGCTCCCCTCCCTCTGGAGAACCCCACACTTTCTGCTTTCAACCTGCTGCTGGAGCACCCTTCACAGAAATGGCCTTGGAACAAAAGCCCAGCCCAGCCCAGCTCAGAGGGACAGAGTGTGCTCGAGTTACTCATTACTTGAGTTAGAGGAGGTCACCGAGCAGGAAGCACCACTGCAAGTGGCAAGCGAGGGGGAAGGTGGCTTAGAGGGTGGGGAATTAGTCAGGGTGACCTTCTAGGGGCTGATGGGAAGGCAGCATCTCAGCAGGGGGTAGGTATCAGAGTGGGAAGGTGGCAAAGTCATAGCAACAGCCCCAAGGTTAGACAAGGTCAAATGGAAACAGGGAACTATAAACTAGCTTCTTAATAGCTCTGGTGGTGAAACTAGACACTGAGCTTGACACTTTCCCACATCTCCCATTTATTCCCTGCAACAATGTATCACTCCCACTTTACAACTCAGGGAGCAGCCCAAGGACTTGCCCAAGGTCGCCCAGCAGCGGGTCAGAGTGGGAGTGCAGATCTGTCTCGCTCCCCCTGACTGCCGGGCATGGCGAGGCAGCAATTGCAGGTGGTTCTGTGACTGGCAGGAGCGGTTTGAGGGGCCCACTGAGAAATCTGGCCTCCAGGGCGGAGATCATGTTTTCCAGCAGTGATATCAGTTTGGGTGGGGACTCGAGGTTTCCAGGAAGCTGGGGGAGGCTCGGGGTGAGATGCCACATGGGAATGCAGGCAGGACCCTAGGACTTGGTCAGAGTTGGAGGGGTCTGCCTGCAGGGAAGGCACGTGGGCAAAGCTAGGGAACCAAAACTCCAGAGGGGAGGTGTCCCTCAGGAGAAGACAGCCAAGGGCAAGCAAAGGTCAATCTACTGGGCACTTGCCACACCCCTGGAGAGCTAAGTAAGATGCTTCTTTTTTAAGGGAAATAAAGGAGGGTTCTAATGAAAGCCTGTCACCCTGTGCCTCTCTCCACATGCCTTACTGCACTCTTCTCCAGGAAAAGAGAGAGAGGAAAACCAAGGCTGGGAAGGGCAGGGAGGGCCAGATGGGGTGGGCACATGAAGGGCACCACGGCCGCCCTGGGAAGCTGCCCCCTTCCCTGCTACTTCCCCCACAGGCTTCCCTCCTCACAGCGGCGTGCACTCAACATGCGCCAGCCCTTCCAGCGCCCGTCCTGCAGGAAACTCCTCCAGGAGTAATTTCTGCCTGGAGGGGGCAGGGGCTTCATCTCCACAGGTGCAGCCGCTCTGCTCCCGCTTCTCCTACCAACAGCTCTAGGCGTTTCCAATAGAAACTGCAGGGGCCAAGCAGGGGTTGGCTTCCTTCCCAACAAGCAGTTCCCAGGTTGCCCCTGACAACCCTGAAGTGCCCCCCCAGAGGCTGGGTGGATAGGTGGCTGCTTCTCCCTTGAATTTCAGGAATTTTCAGGTTTGCCCAGATCCTGCAGGTTAGCCTTGGGAAAGATTAGTGGGCA